TTTTCTAGATTTGGGGCTCCTTAAAAAGGATCGAAAACGTCGGCGCTGCAGCGGGAACGCGTTTTGGAACAACGAGAGGCGCAGAAATTGGGCCAGCGCTGCAGCGGGAGCACGATTCGGAACGAGCGGGAGCGCGGAAATGAGGCCAACGCTGCAGCGGGAACACGATTCGGAAGGAGCGGGAGCCCGAAAATTAGGCCAGCGCCGCAGCGAGAGCAGCATTTTAGAAAAAAACACCAGCGAAAACCCAACTCCGGGGAATCCTGTGTGTAAAAAACAATACGCGGGGGGGTGCCGAATATCTTCCGGACGCCATCAGGGGAAGTGGGAGAGTAGTATTCATATTGTGTAATTGTGGAGGGGGGGGAGGGGAGGGGTCGGGAGGGGAGGGAGGGGGAGGGGAGGGGAGGGGAGGGGAGGGGAGGGAGGAGGGGAGTGGTGAGGGGAGGGTGTGGAGGAGGAGGAGGAGGAGGAGGAGGAGGAGGAGGAGGAGGATTTTGAGGCGGGGCTGCGGCCCAGGGGCCGCGCTGTGGCCGGGGGCCGCTCCTGCTCGTGGCCGCCCCGCCGCCGGCGCCCGCCTCGCCCACGCCCACGCACACGGACGCCAGCGGATGCAACCGTACACGCTGGTCGTTGAAAGTAGGTATTTTTGGATCCCCGACCCACCCGTGTTGGGCCCCCCCCCGTGTCGGACCTTGGCGCGCTATCCCCTCGCCGTCGCTCCTCGGCATCCTCTGGCGTATCCCCGCCCCCACCGGGCCATGGTATCTCAGCCTTGGAGCCGTCTGGGGGGCCTGAAGTGGCCCAAAATTGCGGGCAATGCTTACACGCAGGTCGTTGAAAGTATGTATTTTTCGATTCCCAGATCCCAATCTACTTCTAGCGCCTTCCTACTTCAAGGATCGGCATGCTTTTGCTGTGTTTAGTTGTTCTCTGGGAGGGCCTGGGCCCAATCCACTATATCCGCCTTCCTACTTCATGTTTTTACTTACTTCTTCCGACCGACGTGCGTTTCTGTGGCAACGTGGCCCTCGGAAGGGTCTTGTGTCCTCTTGCGTGTCCTCTCCAATCAAGTCCGACTGTACTGTAATCATAAACTGATGGCGCTCCGCGTGGATCCACGCTGGCCCCCCCCCCCCGGCGGCGCCTCCGGCGCCGCCCCTGGCGCGCTCCGCGCGTCAGGGATGGGTGTCCAGCGCAGATCCAAGAAATCCGCGCGGAGCGCCAAAAGTTTGTGTTTATGGTGTTTTCTTTCTTCTATTTTCAGTGCCCATAACAACCGCTGCCCTTCCGTCGTGCTTGCCTTTTTCGGCCTCCTGGGAGGCCCTCGTCGCCACCGCTGGATTCGCCTCGAGATCCCGGTCCCAGCGCAGCACCCCAGGAGAGGTACGGGGAGTAGCGGTGCTCATCGGCACTTGTTGCTTCCCCGAAGGACGTGCTCTACACGGACTTCCTCGTGCTGCTCAGGCTGGGGGGCAGGTGGCGGATCGTCAGCAAGGTCTTCTCTTGGCGGCTCGAGGACGGGGCCTTGAGAGGGACGGGTCGAAGAAGAAGCAGAAGAAGAAAAATAATGATAAGAAGAGTCAACGGCGTAAACATACACTCTTGACGGTCTGCGCGTGCCGTCAGCGGTGTGTGTAGTTGTTTTTCTTCCTCCACTGCGGCCCTGAGGACTACTACTGGTGGCCTCGTGCCCCCTTCCCGTCCACTGCAGCTCGGGGCCCACCTCCAGACGCCTCAGCTCGGACACGCAATCGCGAATGGCTGCGTTTTCCCAAAATAGCAACGGTTCAATTTCTCGGAACGTGCTGCGTAGAGCACGGCTTCTCTGATAAAGTCGAGCAACCTACGCGCAACGTGACCTGTTAGGTCTCACTCTCGCGGACACGGCAGAGAGTTGAGCTTCAGATTGCTGACCACGGTTTAGGTTGCTCCCATCGTACTTCAGGACCCCATCCCCCAACAAAAGTTCGAGCACCCAGAAAAGTATCGAACCAGTGTCGAACGAGCATCGCCTCCCAGGGCCCGACCCTCTAATTTCGGTACTTTCCTGGTGCTCGAAATGCGGTCTGGTGATCCAGGCTAAAGTACGTTGTCAAGGGCGTAAAAACAACGCCCTTACCCTGGTTTATGAGGCGTTGTGCGCTGAACCTCCTGTGGGCTAACACGGTAAACCCTGCGTATCGCGCATGCCGCGCGGCGTCCTGGCGGCTCTCTGGCCCGTTGGAGCTCCCAGGAGGTTTACTGACTGCGCACTTGCAACCCAGGGTAGGGGCGCACATCATAAACCAGATCTCCCCAGATGCCATGGCGCCTGCTCTTATTTCAGCACGCTCCCTGGCGCCCCCCCCCTGGTCCGCGCACGTGCCCCGGGCCACGATTCGCGCACGCCTCTCTTGGCCGCCCCCCTCTCTGGACGCTCCCGAAGAGTAAGCTGGAGCATCGTCAGCCGCGGTGTGCTTCCTCGCGCTGGCCAGGCCGTGGGGGGGGGCCCTCCTCCTCCCCCTCCTCCTCCTCCTCCTCCTCTTCCTCCTCCTCCTCCTCCTCCTCCTCCTCCTCCCCCTCCTCCTCCTCTGGCCCCTTCCCTGACGGCGAGAGAGAGAGCGCGGCTCGTCGGCCAGGCCTCCTCTCCTGGCGGCCCCGCGGGCGCGGGGCCCCGCGGGCGGGGCGCGGGCCGCGGGGCGTGGCGGGGCGCCTGGCAGCGGGCTGCGCGCGGACGCGGGCAGGGAGCGGACTTTGAGGCCGGGCCCTCGATGCCCACCTCATGGATCTGTTCGACTCAGGTTCGACTCAAGTTCGACTCAGGTTCGACTCAGGTTCGACTCAGATTCGACTCAGGATCGACTCAGGTTCGACTCAGGTTCGACTCATGTTCGACTCAGGTTCGACGCACGAGTGGAGCGAGTGGCTCCAGGAAGGTCCCCAGAATGAGCATCTAAGGGGCCTGTCCCTCTGCAGGGAGGATCTTCGACAGTAGTCAACAAAATAAGCAGGGGACTTTTTTTGGTATATTTTTGGAATATTCTAGGGTACTTTTTTTGAGTATTTTCAATTTCTTGCCCAAAATCCCCCGGTAGGGGGACAGGCCCGATTGCCCGACTTAAGAGAGGACGCTTGGCCACGAGAGTCCCCAGACGTCCGGCGCTCGAGGTTGTCCGATGTGCGTCGGAGAAGAAGGTACCCATACCTGTACCCTTCGCCCGTCTTCCGCTTTTTGGGCCTCCTCGGAGGCTCTCGTCGCCACCGCTGGATTCGCCTCGAAATCTGGGTCAGAACGCACCCCGGGAGAGGTCCGGGGAGCAGCGGTATCGGTACCTTTGGGTCTCCCCAGTGCGGACCCCCCCCCCCGACGTGTGGACCCCCCCCCGACGTCTGGCCACGAGGCCCCAGGCGTCCAGCGCTCCAGGTTGTTGGATGTGTAGGCCCCCTCCGCCCCCCGAGGTCTGGACCTCGTTCGTCCCTGCCCAGACTTTCCGGAGCGCCAAACAAGTGGCCCTCCAGACCTATAGACCAATGCCTTGTTCACGGCTGTTGGAGGTTTCGTGTGTTTCGTGCTTCTTTTTCGTTTTTTGTATTTTTATTTTTTCTGTTTATGTTTATTAATTGTTTTTTTTTTTTCTCTTCTTTTTTTTTTTTTTTCTGGTGTTTTGTGGAGGTTTGGGATCCTTTGTTTTGGTCTTTTGTTTTGGGTGATTTGAGTCTATTATTGTCTTTTTTTTTTTTTTAGTGTTTTTTGGATTTTTTTTTTTTTTTTTTTTTTTTCTTGGTGGCAATGATTTTTTTCTTTATTATTTTTTTTTTTTTGTTTTTTTTTCTTTTTTTGATCTTTTCGAGGCTCCTTCTCCTGCTCCTCCTCCTCATCCTCCTCCTCCACCTCCTCCTGCATTTTCAAACAGTGTATACACTCGGCTTGCGAGCCCCGCTGGAGGAGGAGGAGGAGGAGGAGGAAAAGGACGACGACGACGAGGGGCATGAGGGATAGGATGGAGAGAGAGGAAGGAGGGAGAGGAGGAGGATGAGGAGCTCGCGGAGGAGGGATGAGGAGGCGGAGGAGGGAGGAGGCGGAGAAGGAAGAGGATGCCGTTCAGTCATCCGATTATTTCCTTTTCGGCCAGCGCCGTATTGATCAATCTCTGGCCATGGTGCTGGCGCGCGGACGGCTCGGCTGAGGCCAAGCATGCCGTTACGGATCTGTTGGTGTGTTTATTTGGTGTGTTTTGTGTTTGCGTTTTTGAGTGCTTGCGTCTTCACAGGAGGCGACTTTTTTTTTTTTGTGTTTTTTTTTTTTTTTTTTTTGTTTTTGATAGTTTTTTTGTTTTTTTTGTTTTGTTTCTTTTTTGAAGTTTGTGTTTATTTTTGTTTGAAATGTTTTGTTTTTAGTTGATTGAAGAAGACCTGGCAAAGCCTCGACCACGGGGTGAGGATGCTCGCGCGGAACTGCAATGAACCGCACAAGCTCTTCACCAGGTCGTGCCCTCGGCGCCGCTTGCCCGCTCGCTCGCGCTGCGCGCTGCCCTGCTTCGCGCGCCCCCACCGGTCGCGTTGCGAGGTCTTTCGGCCCCAACGCTCGCAACGGCAACGAGTGCGCCAACGTGCCGCGGAAGGAGCAGAGGCGCACCTGGCTCAGGATATCGGGTTATTTCCCGCCTCTCCCGGGGCGCGTCCCCAGAACGTTTTTCGGCGTGTTGTTGTTGTTGTTGTTGTTGATGTTGTTGTTGTTGTTGTTGAACATTATTTATTCTAAAGAATAATTATTGTTGGGCCCCCTGGTGCGCGCCCCCCCTGCGCCGCCTAGGCCGCAGCTACATTTTTATCATTTTCGTGAGGAAGCCTCAGAAAAGAGGGTGTGTACAGGATCCGGTTGTTTTGTTGTAATCCGCTTTCCTTGCAAAAAACAATAGAAAATGACATTTCTTGTTCTAATATAATCAAATTTCAAGAATCCCTTGCAAAAAACAAGGTAAAGTGGACATTCGCGCGCGCAAGACGAAATCCTTCCAAAAGCTTAGTGTTCGGAACGATTTTAACATAAAACATCAAAAAACCAATGGTTTTTCAACAAAAAAATGTCAAAATCTCATCCCGCGCGCTCTTGCGGATTCGTAGGAAACCCAACACTTTTGAAACATTTCTGTCAAACGGGCTTTTGCGAGCAACTTTTTCGAACTTCTGCGACAACGGTTGCGCACCTGCCAGGGCCATCATCCCTGTCAAATAATACCATGCGGGACACATTCGTTTTTTCTTCGCGCGCGCACGCCGTCGTCGTCGGCCGCGGGCCCCTGAATAGTAGCCACGGTCGTCCGCATGCCACGAAGTGAAGTGTCCGAACGTCATAGGGCGGGAAGCTGGGTGTGGGTGGTGGCGAAGAGTCGTTTGGAAATTTGGTAGAGCTTGAACCGGCCCCCCCCACAAAGTGGGGGTATTGCCCGCCTCCTATGAAAACCCTGGCACTGGTGAGAACGGAGTGTCCCCACGTGCTAGTAATTGTTGTTGTTGTTGTTGAACATTATTTATTCTAAAGAATAATTATTGTTGGGCCCCCTGGTGCACGCCCCCCCTGCGCCGCCTAGGCCGCAGCTACATTTTCATCATTTTCGTGAGGATGCCTCAGGTAAAACGATGTGATCCAGATCCGGTTGTTTTGTTGTAATCCGTTTTCCCTTGCAAAAAAACACTAGAAAATGACATATCTTGTTCTAATATAATCAAATTTCAAGAATCCCTTGCAAAAAATAAGGTAAAGTGGACATTCGCGCGCGCAAGACGAAATCCTTCCAAAAGCTTAGTGTTCGGAGCGACTTTAACATAAAAACATCAAAAAACCATTGGTTTTTCAACAAAAAAATGTCAAAATCTCATCCCGCGCGCTCTTGCGGATTCGTAGGAAACCCAACACTTTTTTAAACATTTCTGTCAAACGGGCTTTTGCGAGCAACTTTTTCGAACTTCTGCAACAACGGTTGCGCACCTGCCAGGGCCATCATCCCTGTCAAATAATACCATGCGGGACATTCGTTTTTTCTTCGCGCGCGCACGCCGTCGTCGTCGGCCGCGGGGCCCTGAATAGTAGCCACGGTCGTCCGCATGCCACGAAGTGAAGTGTCCGAACGTCATAGGGCGGGAAGCTGGGTGTGGGTGGTGGCGAAGAGTCGTTTGGAAACTTGGTAGAGCTTGAACCGGCCCCCCCACAAAGTGGTGGTATTGCCCGCCTCCTATGAAAACCCTGGCACTGGTGAGAACGGAGTGTCCCCAGTCTTAAATGATTGTTGTTGTTGTTGTTGTTTTCATGTTTTTCTAGGCCCCGTCAAAACTCTGCGAGGCAAGCCCCGCCCGTACAGCAAGTGCTTTTCGGCGCGTTTTTCTGGCAATCCCGCATCCGCGCCCGCAGGAACCTGCTCTTGCCCGACGGCGCGGAGGAGTTGGTCACGCCCCCGCCGTGGAGCACGAAGGTGGCTTGCTACCAGCGCCTGCTCGAATGGCCCGGCGCGGGCCCGCTCACAGCGAAGAACGTCTACCAGCTACTGCGCGAGCCATCGCTTTAGGGCTAGATTGCCAGGTGTTTGTGTTATTGTTCTCGTCGTGTTTTTTTGTTGTCGTTTCTGGCGGGGGGTATTTTCTGTTGCGCGCGCGCGCCCTCGCGGGGGTCTCCTTTGCATGCGTCTCGCCTGGCGCGCCGAGGCACGAGGAAGGGCCCGCGGCCGGCCGCCGGGCGGACGCGCGCGGCGAGGACCGGTTCTTTGCTGCGCGCGTTTGGCGAGCGCCGAAACGTTGGCACTTTTCGAGAACGGCTTCGTAGTCCGTTGCGCCCTGACGGAACCCTTTCGGTGCGTCAGTTTCGCGGGACTTCGGTTTCGTCGTCGGTCCATTGTTCTCTGCGTGTCAGCGTTTTTCCAGCCGCGTTAGTTAATCGCTGTTGCGCGGTCCGTGTCACGCCTTGACCGCGTCGACTTGCGCTCGTCGCTGCGAACCCCCCCCAAACAAAAAACAGCCAGGTTTGCGTGCGCCGCAGCCGGCGCGAGGTTCGCGTGCAACATCCTGCTGGCCGAGGCCGGCGGGTGGCAGTATGCGAAAGATTCTACAGGCTTACGCCACATCCGCCGACCCCTTCTGTGACTGTTGCGAGGCCAGGAGTTTCTGGCCAGCGGCGTCTTGTGTGAGGGTGCGGTGTCGCGCGCGGGTGGTGGCAGATACGTAGGGGGTCCACATGTTTGCGTGATGCCGGTGGTCTGGGGCGTGTTTTGCGAGCGCTTTGCGTGCTGTGCACCCGGGTGCGGGGTGTCCTTCTGGGAGGTCGGCCTCTCGCCCCTTAACCAAGTGGAGGAGCACCGGAAGACGAAAGGAGCAAGAGTAGCGTGCGGAAGGTGTGATCAGCGAAGCATCACCGCGAAAGATGTGGCAGATGAGTCGAAACGGGTGAAGAGGCTGTTGACGTTCGCAGCGCGCACGAAACAGTTCGCGTAGCAGCAGCACGTCGCGTAGCACAGCGCCGAGCAAGATTGTGAGCACGTCGCGAGGAAGAGCAAGGCTGCATGCGCGGAGTGCATTGCAGTTGGCTTGACGGCTCGCAATGCGGAAGCGTCTGGTGTCTTTTGGAGGCCTCCTGGGGGCCTCTTTGGGGCTCCTTGGGGCGTCTTGGCGGCCTCTTGGGGGCCTCTGGCGGCCTCTTGGGGCACTCTTGGGGCCCCCTGGGGCTCGTGGGGGCGGGAAGCTAGATTTTTGAATTTTTGGTTGCCCTCTTGGGCCCCTCTTGGTGCCGTCTTGGGGCCTTCTTGGACCGTTTTGGGGACCTATTGGGGCGTCTTGGGGCCATATTGGGCCGTCGTGGGGCCGTCTTGGGGGCCTCTTGGGCTGTCTTGGGGCGGTCTTCAGGGCACGAGACGAATTTGTGAAAACTATACGTTTTACGAAGGAAAGGAGCATTTTTTTCCGTCTAGGGACCCTCTTGGGACGCATCTTTGAGGCCCCTTGGGGGCGTCTTGGGCCAGCTGGAGGCCATCTCGGGTGTTTTCGATCGCTCTTGGACCGTGTGGGACCATGTTCAGCTCTCTGGGAAGCCACTTGGAGCGCTCCTGGAGCGCTCTTGGGGCCGTCTTCGGGGCTCTCTTGGGCCGTCTTCGGCGCCTCTTGAGCCGTATTGGCGCCCTCTTGGGCTGTCTTGGGGCCCTCTTGGAGGCTTCTTGGACCGTCTTGGTGCGGTCTTGGGGGCCTCTTGGGCTGTCCGGAAGCGTCGGAAAGCCCAAAAGGCGAATTTGTGAAACATGTACGTTTTACTCAGGGAACGGGCCAACTTTTTGCGTCCAGAGGCCCTCTTGGGGCGCATTTTGGATGCCCCTTGGGCTCTTGGGGGCACCTTGGGCCGTCTGGAGGCCGTCGTCGGTGTCTTTGATCGCTCTTGGACCGTCTGGGACCATATTGAGCTTTCTTGGAGGCCACTCGGAGCGCTCCTGGAGCGCTCTTGGGGTCGTCTTCGGGGCTCATTTGGGCCGTTTTCGGCGCCTCTTGAGCCGTCTTGGCGCCCTCTTGGGCTATTTTGGGACCGTCTTGGAGGCTTTTTGGGCCGTCTTGGGGCGGTCTTCGGGGCCTCTTGGGCCGTCTGGGAGCATCGGAAGACCCAGACGGCGAACTTGTGAAACATGTGCGTTTAACGGGCAAGTTTGTGCGTCTAGGGACCCTCTTGGGACACATCTTGGAGGCCTCTTGGGGCCTCGTGGGGACCTCTTGTGCCGTCTAGGAGGCCTCGTAGCTCGTCTTTGGGCCACCTTGGGCGTCTTGGAGCGCTCGTTTGGCGTCACGGGGCCATTTCGAGGCCACGGGAGGAGTCCTTGCAGGATTTTTGGGAGCGGATGACCCCCCTTCGGGGGAATCGGAGGAATCGGGGAATTTGGCCGGACCCACCCCCCACTCCAAATCGACCGGACCAGGCTCCCGGCTTGGAGGCCATTCGGAGCGCTCCTGGAGCGCTCTTGGGGCCGTTTTCGGGGCCCTCTTGGGCCGTCTTGGGCGCCTGTTGGCCCGTCTTGGGGCCCTCTTGGTCTATTTTGTGACCCTCTTGGAGGCTTCTTGGCGGGAGCATCGGAAAACCCAGAAGGCGAACTTGTGAAAAATGTCCGTTTAACGGAGGGAATTGGCAAATTTTTGCGTCTAGGGACCCTCTTGGGACGCATCTTGGAGGCCTCTTGGGGCCTCGTGGGGACCTCTTGTGCCGTCTAGGAGGTCTCGTAGCTCGTCTTTGGGCCACCTTGGGCGTCTTGGAGCGCTCGTTTGGCGTCACGGGGCCATTTCGAAGCCACCGGAGGAGTCCTTGCAGGATTTTCGGGAGCGGATGACCCCCCTTCGGGGGAATCGGGAGAATCGGGGGAATCGGGGGAATCGGGGAATTTGGCCGGACCCCCCCCCCCCCCCTCCAAATCGACCGGACCAGGCTCCCACGGGAGGGGTTTGGGGAGGGGGAATCTCACACGCCGATGAACCCCAAAGGGTCGGCGGATTTGGAAAGATTCGCAACCCTTTCGGGAATGCGGTCCACGCAGGCAAAAGTGGCCACAGTAGCTCCCACCTGGAACCAATGTAATAGAAGCGGTAATAGTAGCAGTAGTAGTAGTAGTAGTAGTAGTAGTAGTAGTAGTAGTAGTAGTAGTAGTAGTAGTAGTAGTAGTAGTAGTAGTAGTAGTAGTAGTAGTAGTAGTAGTAGTTGTATAGTAGTAGTAGTAGTAGTAGTAGTAGTAGTAGTAGTAGTAGTAGTAGTAGTAGTAGTAGTTGTTGTAGTTGTAGTAGTCGTAGTAGTAGTAGTAGTAGTAGTAGTAGTAGTAGTAGTAGTAGTAGTAGTAGTAGTAGTAGTAAGAATGGTTAGTCGTAGATTAGCAATAGTGTATAGTATTTAGTATTGTTAGTAGTAGTAGTACTAGTAGTAGTAGTAGTAGTAGTAGTAGTAGTAGTAGTAGTAGTAGTAGTAGTTCTAGTATCAGAGTAGGAGCAGTAGTAGTAGTAGTAGTAGTAG